TTAGATTTTTTCGAATTTCAGAATGTGTTCTATCAGAAAAAGCACACTTGAAAACCCTAAAACAGTTTTTGCGGTCTGAAATTCGTCCATAAGCCCGTATTACCACACTTTCGAAATGTCTCACTTTCGAATTGTCACGCTTTCGAAATGTCCCGGAGCCGAAAAAATAATGTTCTCGAAATTCCGTTCAAATATGCCCCTCGAGGAGTTGAACTTGTGGGGGCGAGGATTGAGGGTGCGGCGCCGCTACCGACTGAGCCACGCGGACAAAGAGAAACCGCCCGCCCGATTGCATACATAAAAGCGAGGACGACAGCTGTAAGCAGAGTGACATTAAGCGTTGTACACCGTGACGGTAGAATGCATACCCTGGCTACAAAAATCCTACGAAAAATGTCCTGTCCCCCCACCTTTAAAGCATTTTAGCAATTTTAACTTTTGACAGTTTATTGAAATCCACCTAAAAATTTTCCCGGTTTCCCGTTTTTCATAACTTTCATTTTCAAAGATTCAAAGTATTCGGCCGCTCCAACTTTCCAATTTCAGTTTTCCAAATTCCGCCCTCCAGCAGAATCTCTAAATCGATCTTTTTTTTCTGTAGTCAAGTGTAGCCATCGCCCAGTCAGACGGGCAGAAAAAAGAACGGATGATGATTCAAAGATTGAAAAGAGAATAAGAAGGAAATGATGACAATCAGATAACATTGAAACATGGGAGAGATTGTTATATTTGAGTGAATCGTGCACTACAAAAAGATATTCCCCCACACACTACAAAACTTTACGAGGGGGGAGGGATGATATGAGATAAGGAGTCAGGGGTGTGGGGAATGAAATAATGGGAACTGAACAATTCGAGAACCTCCTGAAGTTTCTGAATGAATTGTTGAATGGAAGTTAATCCACAATTACTGTCTTCAGAAAAAAGATAAACTAGTCGTGAGATTCATGAATTATTAAATAAAATTGTATACACCATAAAATTAAGAAAACTTTTCGAGAAGCTTCTATAGCCAAACAATTTTTCAGGGTCTCACCACATTTAGGAATTCCATAACAGATTTGAAACTTGGCTAATAGTAAGTATTATAGAGTACGACTACCTTAAACAAACATGTGAACTTATGAAAGTTATGAAACATCAAACTTGTAAATTTATTTTTGGTTTCTCAAAATAGGAAGTTTCAAAGACAGATAATTTTAGCCAAAGGGACCCCAGCACTGTGTAACTTCGAGAAATCGATATGAAAATTCACCGTATCAGTAAACTATTCTCAAGTAACATTCGTTTGGCTATTAATGTTTTTTGGCATGTCAAAATATAAAAATTTCGGAACATTTTAGGTTAAAAGAAAACGAAAAAAAAATACTGTAAAAGCTGTAACAGAAGTTTCCCACTCAATCAAGTTTCAGCTCAATTTCCTTAATTCCTATGTAGGATATCAAAATGTGTCAATTAAGAAAAAAACTTCTGATATTATGATAAACATTTTATCAGTAGAAACTTTTTCCTGTCTTTGTCAGGAACCGAGAAAATTTGGCTAGAAGTTCAAAGTTAGGGTGCCCTTCTATTACAGGTTTTGCGGAATAGTGGTTTTTGATATTTTTTTCAGATTAGTTGGCGATTTTCACTGCTTTAAGGGTGGGGGGGGGGACATGAGAATGCATACCCTGGCTCCGAAAATTCTCCGAAAAATCTCCTGTCTTTTCACCTTTGAATTCACTTTATTCAGTGTAGCGTTTCAACAACAATTACTGCAGCCGGCCAATAGACAGAGCTATTAGATAGTCTGTAGAAAAAAACTTTTCTATTATGATCGTGAAAATCATGGCTGTGGAAGAGCAACGCCGGTGGCCGTTGCCGAAGGTCCCACAGAAACACCTACAGTAACCCAAATAAAAATTTTCCGGATTTGTTTTCTCGTTTTACACGGATTTTGGTCGATTTATTGTTATTTTTAAAAGTGTGGAAATGAGATAATAAAAAGTCTGGAAATGAGATAATAAATCCGGAGAATAAGTATACTGTCACTTGGGTTCAAGCCAACGGGTAAAAAAACGCGCCCCAAATAACTTTTAGGCCAGAAGAAATTTAATATCTTCAAAGTTGACGTAGATTCGACCTAATTATTTTTAATCAACGAGTTGCAACGCGTGATTTTTTCGTGCAACGTTTAAAAGTTTGATCCTCAGCCACATAATTCAGCAGTTATTTTTTTTAATCTCACGTTTACTGGGGCGCGATTTCTGACCCATTGGCTTGAGCCCAAGTGTACTATTACTATTAGGTTAAGATAATTTTCATTGTGGGTCATTCGGCAACAGCCACCGGCGTTCGTCTTCTTCGAGAAATCAGTATAAAAAGTTACAATAGTTTTTTTGGAGAGAAATTTCTGAAGCTTTTACTCTCAATAGATCATAGCGTGGCCAAAAACACAAAAGACGATTTTAGTAGATTTGGAGATTAGAACCTTTCAGACTCATTTCAGATTTTCTCTGTTTTATAATCATATTATATCATCTAACATATTCTGCTTTTCTAATTGTCGATTTGTTGACTAGATCGAGGTCTCATAAAAACATTTTCCTTTGTGTTCTGAAAGTTGCTGACATAATGACAGAGCAATGCAATTAGACGTTGCTGTATTTAATTCATCTATTGGAACTGTTCTTTCTGCGCCAAATCAATTTATTTATTTCTCTGTATACAAAAAGTATCGAATTCCCAAAACAATTCTGCAAAAATAAATATTCTGCAGATCGGAAGAAGCATTCCCAAATGTTTATATCAGCACTTCCTCTTCCGATGATCTTTCCCTGAACATCGCCTGACCTATAAAACTGATATCATTTCTCTCACTTTCCAACACTGATAACAATGATTGTTCCTATTTCTCTTCTTTTCCTCTTCCTTTCTTTCGTTCCATTTAGCTATTCTGCCACTTGTGATTTCGAGAATGAGGTAGCTTCGATGAGTTGGATGGTGAAGGGAGATGTGCTCCAGATTAACTTTGAACACAAGAACTTGACCGAGAATCGATGGGCTTCCATTGCATTCGGTAATGGTCCAGGAATGGTCAGTTACTTAAAAAAGTTTCTATTTCAAAATGTTGTATTCAGAAAACAAGAAAACGTATCTCCGATTTGTTGACTTTGACTTGATATTTTCTATTAAATATTAAAATACTTTTAAAAGTGATCTATGTTGAAAGTTCAAACTTAAGCTGATTCTAGCATTCGACATACCCTCTAAAATACGTTCCAGACCAATCTGGAATCCATAATCTTCTCCCGCGACGACAACAACGTCATCACCACAAACACGGGATTCACACCGAAGAAAAAGAAGGTGGTCGTTGATGACGTCTCCTATGTGACTGTTAGAAACGTGCAACTCAAGGGAGATCTGCTCAGAATTACAGTAACCCGTCCGTTGGGTCCAGCTGGTCCTAGAGACTTTTCTCTGGATCAATGTGTCAATTGGATTGTTGTGCCTGGAGGAGCGCTGAGCAATGGGAAATTCAAAAAGCATCATGGACAGATTTATTTTGTTAAGGTAAGAAAAAAAAAGGTTGTAAAGCAAAAGTTGGAAATTGTTTGACTATTAGAAAAACTACTGTGAATTCACCTAACTTTGAGGAAATTTATCTTTACATTTTTTCGAGGAAAACAAATAATTTCCTGTTTCATTACTTCGTAAAACTTTCTTGTTACTTTTCCATTAAGTATTTAGACATTGTTGTCTTCCCTAACTTTTGTTCCTTTCTCCCAAAACAGATATCTTATTTTTCATTTCATTGTTAGTAAAAGAGAGTTACAACAAAAATAGAAAAATTGACAGTTTCTCTGGTTATTTGATCAAGGTAACAGTGATATTTGAAAATATTAAAAAAATATATTGGATTCAAGAATGTAATTTTTCAGGACGTCTGCGCTGCCAAGTGTACCGCCCAACGGATGATGAGAGTGCTGTCCAATCGAATTCATTGAAATAAAAAAAAATGTATCGTCTTATGTTTGAATTGAATAATAAGAACTTTGTTTATATAAACTTTGGGAAACTGTAGTTAACAAACTCGACACAGACAAAGAGCAACATCAGAGAAAATAGCCAACTTTCTCAAAAACCATGAAACAGAATAAATTTCGAGTTCCGAAAATTACTCGTCTGTTACGAAAAAACGGAGCTGTGGTAGAGAATTGCCAACGGCTGTGACCAAAGGTTCCACGATGACAACTACCGTAACCATAAAATATTTGTATTTTCCGATTTATTTGGGAAATAATAACAGAAAACTTGACGAAAAGCAATGAAAAATCTTTTCATAGGTGAAATTCTTCAAAATTATCCAAATTTATCTGGAAGAAACTCGGAGAATTTATGCGAAAAAAATGCCGGATAATTTATCCGAAATTATCCGGAAAATACGGATAATCGGATATCCGGCTATCCGACTCCGACAAGGCCTTTAGACCTAGATGTTTCTTTTAGACCTAGATTTTTTGAAAATTCCTTTCAAATCATCAAAGGAATCCCCCAAAATCCATTTTCACCCAAAGAAGGGAACAATTTGAATCCCTATTTCCACGCGAACTTTTATCGACCTATGTTTTGTCTTTTTTACAGCTTCGTCATGTGTCACCTGTGCTACGTGTCACCTCTCGGGCGGCTCAAATCGAATGAAACCAAAGACAGTCATAACTGAAAGTTCTCAACGAACAAGCAACTCATCATAATTCCGAAAGATCGTATTTACTTTCGATACGAGCTTTAAAAATGATTCGAGGTAGGTTTATGGCATGGTTTTTAGCATGATTTATTGACTGCGACAGTTTTTAGCAAAACAAGAATTGAAATTTTCAGTCTGAAAGAAAAACTGATTTCCTATGAGGAGAGAAAATTTTAACATTTGAAAAACTGAAAATTCTGCAATTCTAAAACTCAACATTTCGAGATTCGAAAGTTTGAAAATTGAAAGATTCAGAAATTTTGAAAATGAAAAAGTTAAAAATTCAGACATTCAATTATTCAATTATCTCAGATATTCCGAAAAGAAATATTCTGAATTTCGAAAATTAGAAAACTCAAAAACAAATAATATTTTTCAGTCAGCGCCAGTAAATGGATGCTTCTCGCCCTCCTTTCCGTCATGGTGACTACGAACTCAGCTGACACAGCTCTCGAAGCCGAACTTGGACATCCGGATGTGCAGAACGCTATTGAAGGGGTCCGTTTTGCCCGAGCATCGAACGCAAACACGACGAATGGTACAACAGTTAACAACCCGTCAACGAAAACGAAAAGTTAGATTCGTGCTGAAATGTTACAGTAAAAAATGAAGACTTTCAGGAGGCAAGGGACATGCTGGAGGTGCCGGAGTTTCTAAACAACCTTCCAAACCGAGCACGACAGAGCCACCACCAGACACGAACAATACTATCACAGTGACAAATGCAACACCAGCAATCGTAGAGACTACTAATGCTACCACGACAACACCCACAACACCCAAAACGACCGAAGCAACAACCCCGACGACTGAAGCTCCTCAAAAAGGTAAATCACTAGATTTTGAAAATTAGATGACTACTGTGTTTTTAGACCTAACGGATAGCTTCAGTTTTCTAGCCCGAGGCCAGAGCCCGAAAATTTCGTATTTAATTTTTTTCTTGATTTGCAGTGTTTTTTCAGATACTTTCAGGTTTTTCAGGTTTTTTTGTTAATTTTTCAATCAGAATATCTCGAGAAACCTGAAAAATCTGAAACATTTTTAGAGAAACGAGAAAAATAAAATTCAAAAACAAAATGTTCTCTTGCTGGCCGCGGTCGCGGGGGACTAAACTCCAGCATGTCCCTAAAACGTAAGAGCGTAAATAAGTGTTTTCCGATGCATTTTTCTCAATCATGGTTTTTTTTTGGAATTTTTGAATAATTTCTATGCCAATCTTCATGATTTTCTACACAAAATAAAGGCCACACACCATCTTTAAAGTTCAAAGACTCATGAGATTCGAAAAACCTATTGAACATGTTTTTTTTCAGTGTCAAAGTTAGTCGTAACACCAGCTCCACCACCAACTACAACCTCGGTCCCAACAGTCACGACACTCCTTCCCAACAACAATAACACATCACCGGTTTGTTATTTCCCATCTTCCATGTTTTAAAATTCTTTTCCAGACAACTAATTCTACCCAAATGGCACCCAACACATCAGCCACCGAGTCAACAACATCTTCTATTGCTTCCCAGACTCCACCGCCAACGCCAGTTTTACCACCAGGAGGCTCTGCTCAAACATCAACATCTCCCTCTACAGACGAACAAGACCCAGGCACTGGAGAATATGAGCCACCTCACGAAGATCTCCCAGATGATTTCTCGTGTCAAAATCTGGGAGAGAAGTACAAGGCGTGCGAGTACCTCTGTCAGCAGCTTGCAGGAATGAAACCATATAAAGCGGCTGGAATGGACTGGCGTTTTTTGCCCGGAGTGTTTTTGAGTGTCGGCTCCTCAGTAGCAATTATAATTCTCTTCGTTCTAACCAAAAAACTGAATAATGAACTGGCGGCTCTAAACGAACAAAAACCGACGGCTGCAGATGATCCGAACGCAAAGTTGAAGATCGCTTATGCTGCTGCTCTGGACGTCAAGGATCCGAAGAATCCGGAGAAGAAGGAAGAGAAAATCCAGGAAGTTCCATCTCCACCATCTCTCAAGAACAATCCGGCTGCTCAGAAGATGAGGGCAAAGCTTCTCGAAACACAACAAAATCTTCAAAAGCTCCGGACTCACGCGAAGAAATGTGTAGAAGAACACAAAAAGGACGCTGCCAGCTCGAAGTTCCAGAAAAAAGGAGCTATCTACATTCCTAATGAACCTGAGGTAAGAATTTGAGGGTTTTTAATAGATCAATAATTCATTAATTTTCAGATTCCGCCACCCGCTCCACTGCCGGACAACATCATTCTGGACAATGTTGAATGGTGCTCGGACTATAACGAGATGTATGTTATCGGATCTGACGTTGATGATATCGAGCTGGATCAGGATTATGTGATGAATCCCGACTCGTTCACAACGGATGATGATGAGGACAAGAGCAAGAAAAGCCAGAAGAGCAAGAACTCCAAAAAAAGTAAGAAGAGTGTGAAGAGTAAGAAGAGTAAGAAGGATGTTCCATCGACTTCTGGTGCTCCATCAGCTGCTCCTCCACCTTCGACGACATCTGCTCCTTCAACATCCACTCCATCTGTCGACGCCAAACGTGAATCCAATCAGAACAAGAGCAAGGAACAACAGTGAACTCGCAAACTTTTTTCATGCATTTTTAATGGCTCTCTTTTCAATAAAACCACCAATTGATATTCTTTCAATTGATTTTCTAACACATCTTCCAGTAAACAAGAAGGTTCTTTTTTCTTCCTTATCCAAATATAACATTTCTCTTCTTGAGTCCATTTGAGACTGAAGTGGGTCTTATCGGGGAATTTTTTCTCCCAGTCTTTCATTTATTTATTTATTTACGATTGCAAGAATCGTGGAAAAAAATGGAAAAAAAAACATTAAAATACATATTAAGCAGATTCCAAATGAATAAATAATGAATTCTAGTGAGAGGGAATGTGAAATAATAGAATGAACTAGAGTGAACATTAAAAATAAATAGGGAAATTGAGCAATTGCTCAGCAGTAACTAAATCATTTTACTAATTGACGAAAAAGTGTTGCCTAATTTTTTTTGTTTTAAGTAGTTCTTTTCCATTTGTACCTTGTTTTTGATCTTGTTCGATTATTTGTGGACACTTGGAAAAAGTCAGTCTGGTTTAGACCCACTTTTCCTAACATTATTTTAGATATCAGTTTTTTATCAATTGTTTGTCGCCTGTGTTCGAGAGAGGAGAGACCATAAAGGAGGTTACGTTCACTAGCATTCATGTAATCTGAGTCTTGTGGAGTAATATATCGGCCTACATTCCTACTATAAAGCCTTCTTGTGAAGGAATTCTGGATTGATTCAATATTTCTTTGTTCTTTTTTGTTGGGGGGATAACTTATCGAAGTACCGTATTCAACTAGTGGACGAATGAATGTTTTTTAGAGCAGTATCATTAAACGGGGTTTTTTACTACTGTACTGATTAAAACCACGTGTCATAATAAGTTTGGCAGCATTGATTGCTTTTTTCCAATGCTCACTGAAATCTAGCTTGCTAGAAATTAGAAAGCCTAAATCTCTTGTGATAGTTACTCTTTTTATAGCCTAGTTCCTTATCTGATAGTTAATTTCGTTTCTACGTTTTCCTAACGTCAAAGTTGCCGTTTTAGACTGGTTTAGGTCTAGTTTTGCATCATCGCATCAACTGGAGAGAGAGAGGCTTAGGAGAATTTTTTCTAATGATTTCAGTTCGAATTTTAGGCTCTTAACCTATAATTGTCAAGCCGAAAACCAAATTATCTGAAAAAAATTTGAGTGTTTCAATACGAAAATTTAACATGAAATTTATTATGAAGATTTAACATGAATTTAAAGGTGGGGGGACATGAAAAAAATAATGTTCTCGAAATTCCGTTCAAAGATGCCCCTCGAGGAGTTGAACTTGTGAGGGCGATGATTGAGGGTGCGGCGCCGCAACCGACTGAGCCACGCGGGCAAAGATAAAGCGCACTCCCGATTGCATACATAAAGGCGAGGACGACAGCTGTACGCAGAGTGACATTAAGCGTTGTACACCGTGACGGTAGAATGCATACCCTAGCTACAAAAAAACTACGAAAAATCTCCTGTCCCCCCACCTTTAACAAAAAGATGAAAAAATGACAAAATTTGGAAAGAAAAAGTTCACTGCAGTGCACTGAGAACCGGGTTTTCAGTAGAAAGTGTTTCAAAAAAAATTATGCAAAATAACAATTTTTCGATGCCCGTTTTTGGACAAGGAAACATTGATGTTCTCAATTTTAATAACCTCAATTTTTTGCGTTTCAATGTTGAAACTGTAATGTTCGAAATTTCAATTTTTGTCTATTTCAAATTTTTCAGAAAATTCAAAAAGTTAATAAAAAAGTTAATATTGATGCAGACGTCATAAGTTTTTTTTCTCCATCCAACCATAGAATTTCCAAACATTTCAAATTTCGTTATATATAAGTCGAGGGAAGAATCTGATTCGAACTTCAAATCGTTACTCAGCAAATTTTTGGCACATGTGCCGCTACTTGGGGCACCGGTGCCGCTGCAACGCGGTAATCGTGCCCGGGGGGTCGGGGCACGCATGCATTTTGCGTGCCGTTGCCGTGCCGTATCCGTGCTCATGTGTGCCGTTATTTGAAATTCTTTCGCCAAAATTGGCTCAATTAATTTCAATATTTTCTTTAAATTTAACAGTTTATTCGATTAGAAATTCAAAAAAAAAGAGTAACAAAAAAAAAAGAAAAAACGATCATTTAAATCTGTAGAGAAGATTGTGTCGAAGATATCGAATTTCGATGAAAGTACCTTTCCTACTCCTCTTCTCCAGCTTTATTGGCGTTGGGCTTGGCAGGGTGTTTCTGAAAGAACTTTAAAGATTATTTACATAACTAATTGGATGAAAACTCACATTTCTTTGGACGAATTGTTTTCCCGAAAATCCATCGGAAGTTGTCTGGCACGTTTTCACCGAAGATCAGCGGAACTGTAAAACATAGGGATTAACACACATAGGGATTAACATGTGAAATTTTTTTTGATTGTAAAGAATCATTCGAAATACAAATTATAGTCAGAAATCACATAAATGATTCCATGTACTAATTTAAAAACTCTGTCCAAAAAAGTTAAACATGTACTGAAATCACTTTCAGAGCTCATAATTGTCTTCAAAATGAACAATGTGAAGAAAATAACTTAAGTTATTTTGGCTTCTTCGGCTAACTTATAGTTAGGCTGTGGCAATTTTCAAATTGTGGAAATTTTCAAAACAATTTTCGGTTGATCTATTGGAGATTCTAGTCAAACCACTTGTTGATTTCTCCCGAAATTTGGACATTAGTACTTTTAGTAACGCTGATACAGTACCAAAGTTATTTTCTTCAAACTGCCCTTTTGAAGACAATTATGAGCTCTCAAAGTGATTTCAGTACATACTCCTAGTTTTTGAATTGAGTTTTTGAAGGAGTTGATGGATGCATTCCTGGTTTTTTTAAAAATTCAATTTGCATTTTTAATGTTTCTCTATAATCTGAAAATTTTTTCAAATTTTTTTTCGAAAATGTTTGTTTTGAAAAACTCACCATGGGATACCCCCTTGGAATTTTTACAAATTTTCGAAAAATTTTGAATGTCCTAAAAATTTTAGGCTAAAATACGTTCTAAACGCAGAGAAACAATAAAATAAAACTTTTCACAAGATTTCATGATCTATGTCCCTTTTAACATCATCCAGAAATTTAATACAATCACCGGAAAAATACAATGAAAATATTCGAAGAAAGTTTAGCAGGTCGAGGGAGTCGAACCAGAGAGTACCCGCTTCATATTCCTTCCCACTAACCACTCGACCACGCTTCCACTTTCTTTCAACGCTTCAAAACTTATAAACGTGATGAAGGAAAATTTTATTTAAAATCCACGTATTTTTCAAAACTTTCGACCCAATTTTCTCGAAAACTACCGCGACAATGCACTTTTTGAAAACAGATTTGGAATCAGGAAAATGTCAGCTTTCAGATGATATAGGTCACCACCCGTATTGCCACAACCGAGTTGGGGCCTTCCCTAGTCAGAAGATAACTGGATATGGAATGCCAACTTTTATCAGATGTGGTGAGGAAGGCTGTAATATTGGTGGAACTTTTTGTTGTTGTACTGGAGACATGTGTAATGCATCTGATAAATTGAACATTATCATTCCTTTGTTAACTCTTGCTGTTGCTAAGATCGTGTTGTGAATAGAGTATATGGTACACTGTCTCTTTTAGAGATCCTATAGAGATAAAATGGTCCTCTTGGTTTTGAAGAAAATTGGGAATATATTATACGAATACAATACTCCGGGCAATGATACCTTGGCTGTTTCAGATGAAATAACGAGAAAGTTAAATTTCTCTGTACAAGTGCCTAAAGATGGGTATAAAACACGTAAAATACTGAGAAAAATTCTCATTTAGAAAATTTCGAAAATCGCAGGGAGTCAAAGGTGGCACTTCTACTTCCAACTAAATTTCAATAAGATATCTCTATCGACTTGAAAATTAACAACTTTGAAAAGTTTGAAAACTTCACCATCTATGACATATGCGTTGAAACAAAGTATACCATAACTCTAATATAACGCCACCTCGAAGGGAAAAGCGATTTTTGAGCGGATTAAGGTGATGGACGAGTACGCATTGATGGCAATGTACTTTTTGAATTTTTCTAATAATTTTATGATTTAAATTACTTTTTCTTATTGTTCTTCGCATAAACAGAAAAAATCAGACAAAAGCATGAGTCGTACGATCATCTGACAAACATGAAACAGACAAAACTTGAAATTTTGAATGTTATTCTCAAAACCTGTTCTATAATAAAATACAGTTTCTACCAAAACATTAAAAAATACTGAATTTTATTTGAGTTGGTAATAAGGTTCACTATCCGAAAAAAAGCCGGCGTTTTTTTAACCACGTGAAACGCCGGCGATCGCCGGCGAAAGCTGTGTTTTTCCCAGCCCTGTCACTAACACAGTAAAATGTAAAGAAGAGGATTGAAATATTCAAAAGTTGAATACAGGAAGACTGTCTTTTACTTTAATAACAGGGACATGGGACTCCTCTAGTGATGTGTAGTATGTAGTCATGGACTACCGAGCGCTATGGTGTCCCGGCTTTCTAGCTAATATGGGGGCCTATAGAGTTGAGAATTTTGAAAAATATGTTCAAAGCGTGTTTTGGATAATTTATGTGATGCCCACTGGTGAGGTCTGAACCAAGCTCAAAGAACTGTAATCGGCAAAAAAAAACTAATCTGAAATCTGCAAATCGCCTACTTACAAAAAAATCGGTTACAGAAAGTTGGTGTATTAGAAATCCTTTTCAGAAAAAATCGGTGTTCATTTGGCGCAAGTTTGGACGTCCAAAAATGTTCGTTTCTTCCCAAAAGAATACATTTTAAAAGATTACATGTTGCCATGCGTTTTTAGCTTTATGTCAATTTGATCTAGGAACCAACAATCTTGGGTAAATATTTATGTTATTTTCGCAAAAAAGCTGATCATTTTCCAAAAAGCTCAAATTTCAAATGTTTCTCAAAAAGTCTATAGAACAGCAACGTTCTTGCTCTGTAGCCATTGACCTAAATGTGTAATTTCTGTCTAATCCTTTTCCCAACATTTCGCAATTTCGACAAAATTTTTTCTTTGCTATCCGTCATTTCGTTACAACCAAAAATACCAGGAGCAGAATCAACACAAAGGGAGCCACTTGGCACATTGGTTTGTTGGACTACAGTTTTCGTACCCGCTACACAAACCACGACGGAAGCGTGGCAAATAGACAAGAAAAAAGAGTACAAGACAAGACTTGTGACCGAGTATAAAAGCAAGGATAAAAGACATAGAATCTACCGTATTCGAAAAAAACCAACTCGAAACGAAACGAAAATGATCAAGTCAATGATTCTTGTGGCTTTGATTTTGGCATTCGCCTCTGCTAAAACATGCAAATACGACAGTTCGGGATTCCAATCTTACTGGAGATTCGCTAATAATTCGATTATGCTTCAATTCATGAATACTGATATTAAGAATAATCAATGGACAGGAATTGGATTCGGAGATGATAAGGTAAGCATTCTGAAATTTTGATTTACGGTGTCATAGTTTTAGCAAATTTATAAGTAGTTAAATAATTCGATTGAAATTGCTTGAGGATTTCATTTTTGGGATCTGGCTTTATGGCAACAAAAAAATCTGGTTTTTGAAAAATAAGCTTCCAATTTCTTAACAGAAAAATTGAGCAAAACAATATATTTTCAAATAAATGAAACCTGTGAAGTTTCAAACTTTAAAACATTTATTACAGATTCAAAACATGTATAAAATTTCATAGTTTTTTAATAGAGACAATAATAACTCGAAAATGATGATACTGTAACCACCTTTAGAATTACCTCCTGACCCTTAACTTTGAACCAATTCATCTCGGTTACTGTGAAAAATATGGGAAAGTTGTCAATTGCAGAATATTTTTGGAATTATGATTAACATTTTAGAATAATATTATGATAAACATTAGTTTACCACTTTTTGATATCTTGCATAAGAATGGAGGTAATCAATTAAGCTTAGCAATGTGGGGCCATTCGGTTTACGGTATGTAAAATCTTTGAAGACAAATTCCAAAAAAAAAAAACAATAATTTTTCAGTGATTATTGTTTTTTTTTTGTCTATAAAATTTCACATTTATTCAGAAAAGTCAATACATGGTAGCATTCCCCAACTAGTAATCGCTATAATTTCTTGCAATCCTTCGTATGTTCTTCCTAGCAATTATTGTCTATTCCGATAGACTTATGATACAAAGTTGAAACTGTATCAAAAAAATTCAGAACAACTTGGTCGGTGTCTTCTTCATGGTCTCCAACAACCAAGTCACCGTTCGCACCGGCTCCACCACCGAGCACGGACCACCAAACTTCAACCAAAACGGAACAAACATGGGATCATCTGTCTCCACTCAATCCGCTCTCTATTTCCCAGAAGACGAGACAATGAGTGCAGTAGTCCAGATTCCAGTTCAATTCCAAGGAAGAAACCTTCAATCCTGCCAGAAGTGGAGGGTAAGTTGCCTTACTTTAATCGAGACAAAATAAAAAATGTGGTTTTCAGTGGATCAAATCCGGAAAGATTGAGAATGGTCAACTCACTCGCAACTCGAAATCTCCAAAGGACAAGAAGGTGTGCCCGATGGAATGCAATTAAATTTCTTTCATGAATACTCATGTTTCTTTTGCCAAGTGTATATAATTTGATCCTCTTCTCGATGCTCTCCGAGCTTTGACCAATAAACGGTTCGACTAGAAAAGAAATCTTACGTGCAGTCTTATGACTTCTGTAGCGGAAATTGTTTGAACAATTTTTCAAGAAGTTTGTTATTTTTGCCACTGGGTACTGTTGTGTTTGAACAAGGAGACACAACTTTGTGTTTGTAGTTTGTCTTGATTTCTTTTCTTTTTTTTTTTTGAAGAGAGGAGGGATTTACATAGATGTCATAGAATCTAACAGGATTACCATTTTCTGAGAAACATGATATTCTGGAAGAATGATTATTAAATCACTCAAATTAACCGAAAATGCTAACAACGAGAAATGGGAAAAAATCTGTGGGAACTCTGTAAACTAAAAAGACGAATTTTCTGTGAATTCTGATAAACTACAAGCTCCGAACTACAATAAGCTTTCTGAATTGTGAAACTTCCTATTTTTATCAAGGACACAGTAATTTGTGGAAATCAAATATTAGCTGTTTCAGTCTAAAGCTGTGTTCTGTAGTTGCATAATTTGAATTGTACATTTAGTAAACACCAAATTTCATATTTCCAAATGGATGTTTTTTTTTCTGTAAAACTCGATTTTCTAACAAGTTCAGCATATTTTTTTTGTTACATTAAAGGGATAGAAACGAATTTTGAAAAAAATTATTGCGTACTTTTTTCAGATTTGTGAAATCGTAAGTGTTGATTCAAAACTAGAGTTCAAAACTGAAAATTCAAGTATGAGCTTTTCGATTTAATTTAACAAAATTCTTATATAATACGCTCTGCAAAGAATGATGAATTAATAACCGAACCCAAATGAACCGAACAACAACGAGCAACAGGAAAATTTCTGGGGAAACTTTGAAAACTAAAAATCTCTTTAGTTTTCAGTCGAAAAACGAGTTTTTTTGTGATTTCTGGAGAACTTCAAGTACCCGGTTACTTTTTTTGCTGCATTATAAAAAGTGATTTTTGTATTAAAATAATTTTTGCAAATCAAATTTTCGCTGTTTTAGCATTCTAAAACTAGCACAGGTTTTTTGAGTTTCAATAAGTCAAATGTATTGTATGCCTTCATGTCGCGTTCAAAGTAAATTTCCAGAAGTAATTTGCTAGAAAAAAACGATGTCTAAAGCTGTCATTTCCCCAAAGGAATGTAAACGAACAGGAGAAAAATTTCTAGTGATTTTCATTTGGTTATATCCAAAGTAAACCGAAACTTTAAAATTGAAAACTCTCAATCAAAAGTTTTCTTCAAAAACAATTATTTTTTTTTCAGAGCATATTTTCATATTTGAAAAACTTGAAGTCTTGATTCAAAGCTGTACTTCAAAATTGGAAAATTTTTGAATCATTGTAGTCTATCTGAAAAAAAAAACCTATAAAAAACCCAAGTTAAGCGAAAAAAGTAACAACGAGAAACAGGAAAACTTCTGTAGGAATTTCGTAAACGAAAAAAAAAGACTTTTCATGTGATTACTGTAAAACTATTAGGTTGAACAAAAAGTTTCTTTCTTTTTTGGCAATATTTTTGATCAAATTTTTCTTAACGCTGAGGAGACTAGATCAATGAAAGTAGTGTCCATGAGCATTGCTAGCTGCCTGATAATGCTCTGGTAATTTCCTGATCTCATAGGCCTAGAACGAGGAGGGCCGCGATTGAAAACGTGGGTCAACTCCTTTTTTATATCATCTTTTCACTTGAAGTATTTTCTATCAAAATGACGTTAAAGAGCCACAAACGACCATTTATCCGAAAGAGTAAGATTTGGAAAACACGGTGAATACAAAAGAATAGTTCAGCCAAGCGACATTTATTTTTTGGCTGATCCTCCTAGTCCTCCTAGTTTTGGTTGATCCTCCCAGTTCCTGAAGTTGCCAAGAGACTTCAATCCATTCACGGTCTAATAGACGCTGAACACAGCTCCAGATACGTTTTTTTCTCCCACAGTAGTTTTTGCAAATCGAATACCAGCTGTTTCAGGAACATCTTGAAACAAGCAATGGTTCCTTCAATTTCAATTGCAATCATAAAATATGTTTTCAGCGCAGAATTTCTAAAAATTATATTTTGTGCTTTAACTGCACATTTTTAGGGCAAAATTAGCTAACACGAAGTGTTATAGCTTTTTTTTTCTGTAAAACTCGATTTCCTAACGAGTTCTCAGCATATTTTCTGTTTCATTAAAATATTGTAAAGCCACGGTAGAAAAATTATAGTAGCGGAATTAACGTCTTTTCAAAGCTTTTTTTCAGAATTGAAAAGCCTAAAGTCTTGATTCAAAATTGAAAAACCATAAAACTATATGAATTAACGTAACATCAGTCTTATATGTAAAAAGATCAGTGATACCTCGTCACAGTGATAACGCAAGCAAACGAAAAGTTTTAAACTGATCAAACATTACCTAAAAATCGAAAATTTTTCAAAAAAAAAAAGAATTTCCGAACTACCGAATACATTTGATCGGAAAAGTTTTATTTTAAAAACGTAAATCATTTTCGAAGCCCGAAACCTATTCACTCCACTTTAACGAAATTTCCGGCAGTGCAACATTAATAGAACCATGAGTAAGGCTTATATGATCATCATAAGGTATTATAATCGATTGAAACTGTGTATTTTTCGAATGAGGTTTTTATTGCATTCCTTTTTCTTAGATAAAAAAAGATTCTTGTCAAACGAGCATTGATGAGATTCGGCGTTTGTTCAATGAAATCTCGTATTAAATTCTTTGTTAAATGCTTTTTTGCTCTTTTTCAAATCAAATTCAATCAGAAAATGAAAAAAAAGTTCTGATAATCCCGAAAATTCGGCGCATTCCAAAAACTCTGAAATAGTTCTTTTCGAAATTCGAAAAATCCCGAGATTCCGATTTTTAAATTCGGTATGCCCATTTAAAAAGCCCTTCTTTATAACTTCACTTTAAAACAATTTCGTTACCATCAAATCTATAGAACAAGTGCTTCGATTAACAAGTGTCCATCAAATATTTAATACAAAATATGAAACAATAAAGGTAAATCTTTTCCTGATTCATAATCTTTGCAAATGAACGAATCATCAAAACCAAATTTACTTTGACATAGGCATTCGTTTCTATTCGAATGTGCGAAAAAAACATTTAAAACGGCTCGAAATGCGAAGAAGGTCGTATACGTATTTCCAAAAACTTGAAAATTTTTCTTGAAACTTTTTTGAATTACCCCAAAAACTGAAACATATTGGCGACTTAGAATTTTCAGTTTTGGCAGGAATTCAAATATATTTCGAAAACGATGTTTATTCTATTGTTTCGTAGTTGAACAAAAATGTTATTTTCGGACCCAAAAATCGGAATTTTTCAATTATTCCGGATTCATTGGATTTAGAAATACAACTACTTTGCCAACAATGTATAAGATCTCTTGATATGCTCTCATTTGCTAAATCTAGTTCGAAAATATTTGGCTCCTGTGCACATTGATTCACTAATCCCTACCAAACAGGTAAACAAAATTTTCCACTTTTTTTCCAGACACACCGATCCCTCCTCCCATATAGTCTCTGCTCTCTGTGGTTTACCCAGGTAGGCAAAAATCATCAAATATTTGCCACATTTTCTTCCCCTAACTGTTTACCAGTCATCACTTTCCACCGAAAAACTTCTGTTTTCCAAATGATTCGACACCCACATAAATAACTCTAAAAGTCAACAGATGGCATGGGTTTAAATTCTCGAAAATCGAAAAATCGAAACAAATGAAAATGTTCAGCTCTCAAATTTCGATTCTTATACTGGCAACTATCGGAGTGGTCGCATCGCAGACATGTAATTTCCAAAAGTCGGCTGTTAAGGCAAATTGGAAAATCGTAAATGGAGCATTGCAAATTCAGTATCAGAATAATCGAATTACAAATAATCAATGGACAGCAGTTGGATTTGGTCCTGGAATGGTGAGAAATAGTTTCTGTTTCGAGGGGTTTGTAATTTTGAGTCTGAGAATATTTTCCGATGAGTGTTTGGGACGATTTTTTTTGTAGTTTTAACTTGAGTTATAGGTTGAAGTTAAAGAAAATAAGACTTGAGACTCCATCGTTGATGCGTAAATTTTCGAGGGATACTTCGAAAATCAATGGGAATGCGGTGGAGCGCCTCTTGCATCAAAACAGATACTTTTAAAAAACAAGCTAAAATTTTGATATAGTCTAGTTTATATAGTCTAGTTTAGTTTATCGGTCAAGAATAGCTCGCACTGCTGGAACCATTAAAAATGGCTCAAGAAAGAGAACATTCGATTCGGCTTTTTCTGATTTTAGTTATTTATGATAATTGTAAATTTCATAGAACTTTCGTATTTATGTCGGTCGTGCAAGAGGAGAATTTCGCACTGGTTTTTTAACGAGGGTGTGCATTTTGACGTGATGGTGTACAGTGGCTATTGTAATACGTTCATATACTCTCTCGGTAGGCCGACGCGTGTGACCGCGTAGATAACCTGTAGCAACGCGGCATCTCTGATATTATACCCAAAAGTTGAATTTCTTAAAGAACTTTTTTCGATAGCTTATTTCATGAAAGCCAGCTTTTTAATATACCTAGATCATACGAAAAAGTAATAAAATTGTCATAGAATGTTTGTTAAAGTCAAAGCCCTGTGTCTTAATTATTATTGAAGAGAAGTACTTCTGTTTGATATCAAACATGTGAAACAGAAACTATTTTTTAACTGAAATTACTTTTACTAACTTTCAAACCATATTGCAGTCCAACTTGAACGTGATCGTATTCATGGTTCAAAACGGACAAATCACCACTCGAACCGGAAGAACCACTGGATACGGACCACCAGTTTTCGACAATCAAAACAACATCAACGTATCAATGGCAAATCACTCTGGCTCAACTTTGAATGCTCTCGTTTCTGTACCATTGAACTTCAACGGAATGAATGTTCAGAATTGTCAGACTTGGAATGTAAGTTCAAAATTATGGGATTTCGATTATCAACTTTTATTAGATTTCTATTTTGAAACTTATTTAAGACACAAATTTGAAACAGAAAAACAATTAAATATGTTTAACTTTGATTGCAAAAGAGCTATGTTCCTTTAAACATTTTCAGTTTGTCCAAAGCGGACCAATCAACAACGGACAAATGGGAGTACACACATCCAGACCGGATCAAGTCAACAATGTTTGCGCGTCACAGTGTAGATGACATTATACTTGATTGGAAAAAACTGTATTTGATTGGAATAAATAAAATATTTTCGGGCAATTACGTTTAATTGGAAACAGTACAAAAACTTGAATGAACAAAAATAAAGGTTGTGAAAAATAATAATTAAAAATTCTAGTTCAAAAATATTTGCCACAGTTAAACATATTTCCCTCCTGAATAGTTTCCGCTCTTTGTGATACCGAGAAAAAAAATTGGTAGGCAAAACCCTATCAAATATTTGCCACATTTTCTTCCTCAAAAACTTCTGTTTTCCAAATGATTCGACACCCACATAAATAAATCGAAAAGTAAACACTTGGTGTGAGCTTAAATTCTCGAAAACCAAAAATCGAAACGGAAAAAAATGTTGAGCTCTCAAATTCTGATACTTGCTACTATTGGAGTGGTTGCATCGCAGACATGTAATTTCCAAAAGTCAGCTGTGAAAGCGAATTGGAAAATCGTGAATGGAGCATTGCAAATTCAGTATCAGAATATATAATCAATGGACTGCAATTGGATTTGGTCCTGGAATGGTGAGCAATCATTTTTGTTTCAAAGAGGAATATTTTCGTTTTTTAATGTTAATCGGTTATGTTTCTAAAAATTCTAAAACCTCCAGGGACCGTTGCAATGTCCAGTGAACGTTACAATCATATAGACTCGAAAAATGTTCAAAGTCAATGGAAATAATTTTAAAATTTCTGAGGCATCAATCTTATAAATAAAATGTAGTGCTTATAAATAAAATGTACAATCGAAGCCCTTTGTTAAAAACGATAACATATCGATAGGTTGAGCTAGAAGACTGTGGTAAAAAAGATTTCCTGATCTTAAATTTTTGTTACAAATTGCTCAAAATAGAAGAAAGTTCAGATTCGACAAATTCAAGTACTCAGTGAACCATATAATTTTTCGAACTATCTATTTTGATCATACATGTGGATGGCCGGGCC